AGACAAATAATTTTATATTTATTGAAGAGCCAGAAACATATTTTTTTTCAAAGAGCTAAAGTATTAACAATATTAAAAACAAATTTTATTTATAACAAAATTTTTAATAAAAATGAAATTAAGATAAATTTATAACAAAATGTTGTCATGGCTTTTATCCCAATAACCAAAACTAAGTGAAAGCATGAAACTACCCATAAATATATTTTAACGCTAGACACAAATTAAGAATTAAAGTAATCTATAACACGAAGCTTTAAATTTAAAATTACAATTTAAAAAAGATTACAATAAATTAATTACTTTTAAATTTAAAAAAAAATTTAGATTACCTATAATTTTAAGCTACTAAACATTATCTACTTAATGTCAACTTAGATATTTTGAACTCGTACCATGAAAGGTTGAAGGGAAATCTGTAAGTAAGCACGCGGTAAAGAAAAGTCTAGAAACTACTTAAAAAGTGTATTTTACAGATATACTATAAAACAATACGCGTAACTATGCGCATTAATATTCATAGGCTATTAATTATAGGCGATAACTTAATTTTCAAGAAAAACACAATTTTATTCTTGACATATTTTGTAGTTAGTACATATTTTAGGAAACTTGAAAAACTCTAATGTTTTGAAAAAGATGTTTACAGTATTTATGCTTTATCTAAGACCTCAATTCTTTTCTACCACCTTTTCGACCAATTATTTCAGTAATTAGGACATAATTATAAACTTGCCAAACATTTTTCTGATTTATTGTGTTATTACATTTATATAAAACATTTTGAGCCACTTTCATCTTTAAAGAACAAATCCTAACTTTATAGTTTCTTTATATCTTATATCAAATAAACTTTTAATATCATAGGAATTTTTTATATCAATTTCTTTTCAAGATGTCCTACTTTGTAGGAAGTCCTTGCTCATTTTCAAAATTTCTTCTCCCTTCCATGTAGTTTGAAAAAATCTGAGTTCAGCAAGTAGCCATTGGTTGTCATTCTTTCTATAATTGGTCTGTATTAATGTAGTTCCATCACATATTTTTATGCTCTTGTCCAACTTTGCAAACTTTGACTCACATCTAAGATTTTTCAGTGGCATGTGCTTAATTTTGCTGTCTGTTCTCTCATTTTCAAGATCAGAGTCTTTCTGTCATTATAGTCTGGATTAATGACTGGAGAGAACAAGGTCATCTCTTTTAACTGTCGAATTAATGTGTCTATAATTTCAGTCAAGTTGGCAGTGAGAAACTTTTCTCTGCCACAGTTAAAGTCAGCATTGTTTCTAGCTTCTTTCAGTTGTGATTTTTATTTGAAAAAACTCCTGCACACCATTCCAGCTTGCATCATATTTAGTAGTACACGGTTTTTCTGTTCTTCTATTATCAATTCCAAGTAATTTCATTGTAGGAAAAATAACCATCATGCCTACTTTGGCGTACACTTCTGAACAGAGAGTGAACCAATCTTTCTGTATATTAACCAGTATCCAAGTTTGTTTGATTTTTTGTCCAGATTCACTTCAAAAAAGTCTTGGATTGATTGTCACCTGGTTACGAACTCTTTTGCACTTTCAGTAATGCGTCCATAGAAATTAGAAAGAAAACCTCTGAATGCACTATGTTCATTATTTTGAAGATCCATCCAATCTTTATATTATGTGTATGAGGATGCGTAATTTTTTTGACTTAAACACCTAGTTTTTTTAAAAAATATGCTATGATCTCCAGAATGGTCTGACATCTAAAAATCTATAGCACCTTTCAGTTCATCCACAGTAAAGTTTGCCAATACTGCAAGACACTTCAGCTTGAATTGGTAGATTATGGCACCCTCAGACCCTGGATGAAGAGTATTTTCAATATAGCCTGTGGTTATATTGAAAATACTCCTATTATATAATATTCTCCACTCTCTGTCTGGACCACTGATTGTAATGTGGCCTGCCTTGATATTGTACAACTTGTGACCGACAGCTTTGGTTGTATTGTCTAAGTCAACTGTAACAACTTCAATAACATCTTTATTGAGAAGATAATTTGTGGCCATCTGAAGATTGAGGTAAGATGTATCTCCATAAAATGGATGCATAAACACTGGACATCTTATTATATGTTCATCCAAACATTTATGACTAGTTCTTACCGGAATCTTTGGGGACATTTTTTCCTGGACTTGTAGGGTTGTTTCTCAAACTTGTACGTGTTTCTGGTATGATTGTAAGCGTGGCACCGAAGTCTTGATCTTAGTTTTCCAAGTTGATACCTTGAACATCATCCCTGTTTAGGACATCTATATTAGCATCCATTTTTCCTGCTTACTGATTTCCTCCATAGATTTTTCTTTTTTTTATTTGGCTGATGGCTTTCCTCATTTCTCTTCACCTGTTTTTTCCATTTCTGTGAAATTGTTGATGTACAAATTGCTAAGTAAGAGTCGTAGCAATTATCATTATAGAATGCCTCGTCTTTATCTGTCATTTTAATGCTAAACAACTCTTTTAATTTCCATTGTTATGCCACATCATTTGTTCTGATGTCATAGGCTCTGCTTGTCATATGCATGTTGAAATCTAAAGCTTTCTGTATCCATTGACTTGTTTTCTTGTAATTTGATTTTTATGTTGTTTAACCAAAGTCATGAAAGTTTGGTATTTATCTCTTGGCTTATCATTGCATCTTCTTGTCTATGTTTCGTTGACACAGTAGATAATCATTCTTCTATATTTAGTTGTCGGATAGTTCCTGTGCCACAATTTGCTTGCATCATTGTGAGAAAACTTTAGAACCAGGTCTAACTGAATGTAGGAGTATCCCTCCAGTTAAATTTGTACCACTTTGCAACTTAGATTTATCGATAAACATCTTCTTGGTAAAATGTCTTGGTAAAACGCCTTCTCAATAAACTTCTTCTTGGTACACTACCCCCACAATTTAACGAGTTACAATATCACTTCTAGTTTTGACTGAGCTATCCCTGTTCCTTGGCGTGGTGGATTGGTGTGTTAAGATCTTGAATGAAAAATCAGCATTAAAACAATGGGCTTTTGTAGCAAAATGAACATGCTGCTTGTGATGTAAGCACTTTATTCGGTCATGTAGGTAGGTTATTTATATCAGACTAAATGTGCTCCAGGCCCAAAATTCTGCAAATTTGAATTCAGCATTGAATTTCACCTTTGAAACAGCTTGTTATAGAAAAACTTTTAGATTTGCCCCACTCTAATAAAGAAAAAATAAGATTTAAAGATACAGAATTTATGGGTTTTTGTGCCAGCAGGATCAGTGGAGTTAGAGCCGAGCCATTCAGTGTAATTAAAGAGCATTAAAGTCACCTATAACATTATAAATTCATGAGCATTAAAGTCACCTATAACAACAATATTAGCATAGGGTTAAAGAAAAAGCGCATGGTCAATTTGATAAGAAATTATATCTAAAAGAGTGCAATCTTGAGAAGAAGGAGAAGAACAAAGAGATTGATGAGAATTTAAATTAGTTGCACAAAAAGCAAGATTCAATTGATGGAAAGTAACTTGAAAGTCCACAATTATTTGTGAAAGATACATTGGAACATTTAAGTGACGGGTATGGTTTTTTATGTCTAATATTTTTGGTTTCTTTGGGCATGGTTTAAGTTTAAAGAGAACTTGACTCATTAATTGTTTGAGTATGGCTACCCAAGCAATTAGCTATGCAGTTATTTTAGTCCTGCTAATTAACCCAAAGTTGTAACTTAGGGCTCCATATGTGGCCTTGAAAATGCATACCAAGTTACTAGAAGTTACTAAAAGTTTATTAGGAGAACCCTCCAGGAATTCGAAAACAAGGATAAATGAGCACCTTATAAATGGCAGACAATCTTATCTATTTAAATTTAGTTCATATATTTATGCATTTAAATTAATCCATTAGTTGTAAAAAATTTATGATTGTTTTGAAATATTAGATATTTCATATTAAATGGAAAAATCTCATTATATTATAAAATTTTCAATTTAATTTACTTTATTACAATCTTTAATTTTTTTCTTTTTCTGTTTATCATGTCATAATTGGTTTAATAATTTTGATTGGTTTATAACAAGTTTATTTATCTGTTGATTGGTTTATAACAAGTTTATTTATCTGTTGATTGGTTTATAACAAGTTTATTTATCTGTTGATTGGTTTATAACAAGTTTATTTATCTGTTGATTGGTTTATAACTAGTTTATTTATCTGTTGATTGGTTTATAACAAGTTTATTTATCTGTTGATTGGTTTATAACAAGTTTATTTATCTGTTGATTGGTTTATAACAAGTTTATTTATCTGTTGATTGGTTTATTACTAGTTTATTTATCTGTTGATTGGTTTATAACAAGTTTATTTATCTGTTGATTGGTTTATAACAAGTTTATTTATCTGTTGATTGGTTTATAACAATTTTATTTATCTGTTAATATTTCTCTGTATTATCCTAAGTTTTAATCAAATTTAAATTAAATCATTTAAAAATTTAGTATGTAACTACAAAACATGTCAAGAAAAAAAAATTTGATTTTTTTTCCAAAATATTTACCCTTTTTTTTGTTTTTAAATGTTTCAAAATTTAAATTAAAAAAAAATTACAATTTTAAAAAAAAATTTTTATTATCTTACTTTGATTTAGTACTATAAATGTAATGAAATATATTTAAGTTTTTAGTTTAAAAAATTTTTTGAGTCTTTTTTTTTTTTTTAGTTTTATCCTGCAGTAATATTGAATATGATGTTTTTTTAGTTTTATCCTGCAGTAATATTCAATATGATGTTTTTTTAGTTATATCCTGCAGTATTATTGAATATGATGTTTTTTTAGTTATATCCTGCAGTAATATTGAATATGATGTTTTTTTAGTTATATCCTGCAGTAATATTGAATATGATGTTTTTTTAGTTATATCCTGCAGTAATATTGAATATGATGTTTTTTTAGTTATATCCTGCAGTAATATTAAATATGATGTTTTTTTTTTTAGTTATATTATGCAGTAATATTGAATACGATGTGGACCAAGAAAAAGTTACTCTGCATTATGATCAAGAGTTGCCTTTAGGTTTTGCAAAGTTAAATATTGTATTTGTTGGTGAACTAAATGACAAAATGAAAGGATTTTATCGAAGTAAATATGTAACAACATGTGGCTATGAAAAATATTGTGCAGTCACACATTTTGAAGTATTTAAAAAGTGTTAAATATATAAATTTAAATGAATTTTTTTAAAAAGAGGCATTTAAAAATTAATTTCCATTTTTTTTAAACAATTTGTATGCCATTTTCAGTAATGCTACTTTAAAATTTAAGAATTATTTAATCCTTTCTGTATTATGCTTGGCACCTTTATATTAAAAGATAACATCCTTGTATTACACCCATTTTCACTCTTTTATTACTGGGTCACTTGTGTTTAAATCATGTTCTTTTTACAAAATATTTTTTTAAATTAACTTATATAAACTTGTATTTTTTGAATTAACTTATATTTCTAAAAATGAAAAAAATCAAAAAGATCATGTTATCAATAATATAGGCTTTAATTAAAAAATAGGTTTGATAAGTTGAAGCTAACTTTAATTTAAAATTTAAATAAAATAAAGTTGTTTTGCCTAAATCTGATCCTTTTATCAAACTTAAAGATTGATATTATTAATAAGTTATTATAAGTTTGATAATTTACATTTGTCGAATTTTAATACAATAAGCAACCATGTTAAAATAGTTTTGCAAATTAGCAAGATTCAATAATCATTTTTCAGAGGTTCTGTTCTATAATAGGTTAGTAAATCGTTTTTGGGTGTGAAGTACATGTAATAAAAGGGTTATATCTTTTATGAGATGTCTAATGTGAATAGGATATCTGTTAGATGTCAAATGAAAATACGATATCAGTATGATCTGTAGAAACAACTTTATATATAAAACTCATATAAACATCATTTTTGTTGCTTCAATTTCTAAATATAATTACTTTTTTATTTTTTAAGTTACAAAGTAACTTTTCGACTTTTTATTTTTAACTTGGTTCTTGCTTTAGAAATTTGGAAAAAAAATTGATTAAATTGATTTTGTTTAAAATTTCTTCAATTGCAAAAATTTTGGATTTTATGCAAAATTGAAATCTTTTGAATTACTATACAAGAAATGATTTTATTAGTTTATAATTAAGATATTGCATTAAAGATGGCGATTTTAATACAAATATTTTTTAAATAACTAAAGATTAAGAAACAAAAAATGGCTAAATTATATTTGCTGGTTTTTACATGTAATTTATATATATATATATATATATATATATATATATATATATATATATATATATATATATATATATATATATATATATATATATATATATATAATATTATATTACATTTAACATATATATTAATATAATTTTGCTTTCATGCAGCTTAGGATTTATAAATTATCATAAAGTTTTTACTGTATATAAATTATTTCCATTCAAATTAAAATAATTTATATACATTTACTGTATATAAATTAATTACTTGAATGGAAATAATTTATATACATTTACTGTATATAAATTATTTCCATTCAAGTCTTATTATTATTATATTATTATTATTATTATTATTATTATTATGCATAGCACACTTGCCTCAGAAACAAAAAATCTGTGGTTCAAGTCCACCTCTGGGCAAGTTTTGCAACATCGGTTAGGAAGGAGGCATGAACTTCCAATTAAATGTTTGTCGCAGTGCTCTGTGATAAGACCGTAAGGACTTCTTGGGGCACCTAAATAAATAAAATATATTATTATAAAAACTCAAATGCATTTTTTTAAATTTGGTTTTAAAATTTTATAGCAAAAACTTTTAACAATAGTTGTATTAATGTAAATATTTATTTAATGTTTTGTTAACATAGCATATTAATTTTAATAGGCTTTAATTAGCAAAAACTATTAATGTTTTTAGCCCACTGGTGCCCGTCATGCATTTCCTTGTTGGGATGAACCAGAAATAAAAGCTACATTCCGAATTTCTATTGTTGCTTCTGAAAAAACTGTGCTATCAAATATGGTAAAAGTTTTTCTCGCTTTAATTTTAAGAAACTTTAAGAAATTATAATTAAGTAAATTTGATTACAAACTTTAATTTAGGATCTTTATGAAAAGAAAGTCTACCATAATGACAGCTCATTGCATGTGTACTCTTTTAATACAACACCAGTTATGTCAACTTACTTAGTTGCTTTTGTTGTTGGTAATTTTGATTACATTGAAGGATTTGTTGAAGATATTCCAGTCCGAATTTACACTCCTGTTGGAAAATCAGAGCAAGGAAGTTTTGCTCTTGAGGTTAAATAAATTATAAATATAATTAAAGTATAAATATAAATAAAGTATAATTTTTTTTTATTCTACTACTTTAGTGACCAAGTTTTTTTTTTATTCTACTACTTTAGTGACCAAGTTTTTTTTTATTCTACTATTTTAGTGACCAAGTTTTTAAATGTTGCTTTTATAATTTCTTTATTTCTATAACTTTGTTGAGACTCAAATCTTTTGTCATTTACTCAAGATCAAAAAATTTCGTTGCAATAAGTCTTTAAAATATATTTAAGCTAGTTTTTAGAATGAGAAGTAAGAGATAAATCTATTCTTTTTAGTATTAAATCCATTATAATATTCTGGTATGATGGTTTGGTGTTTGTTCAGAAATATTTTATGCTAGTCAGTCACATCACAAGCTTTAAGTGTACAACATAAACAGCACAGACTTACTTTTAGTTTTACTTATATACTCATATGCACAAAGAGCCTTTTACAACATTTTGCATGCTTTTTGGAAAAAAAAATGAAAGTAAAAAAATATATAAATAAAAGTTTTGAGAGCATGAAAAGACAGATACAGTAAAAGATTGCATAAGTTAAGTCAAGTAAGATTGGTTTTAGTTGATTAAACAAAAAATGATAGCTTGTTTGAACAACATGGTATTTGTTGAAAAGAGAATGCAACCTGAGAAAGAGAAAATGGGACAGGGGCCTAATCTTGGCAGCTAGAGCACGTCCAAACTACATTTACAATACATTTTTGGATTTTGTCTAGAAGAGAAAAGGCATCATTAGAAGTATCAGTCAAAATATGAAAACAGTATTAGATACAGGGGCGAATAAGTTATTTGTAGAGGTAGAGGAAATGGAGTACTCAGTGTGTTACCATCATCAATTAATAAATATCATATTGTGATAATTTTGCGCAGTAAATAAAAACTCAGATCAAAAGTTTTCAATCAAAAGTTTTTAGCTTACATTATTTTTCAGATCAACAGCTTTCAAACAAAATTGCTAAAAGTTTAATAAATGGTTTCAGTATGAGAATTTTTGATAAAGTTGTTGCAAATGTAACCTAAGTTAAAAATAGATTCATTTTAAACTTTTTTTTTTTAATTTAATCAGGGTTTGCCAGTGATAATATTTGATCTAAAAACATCAATCACCAAAAATTTTGAATTTAGGATGAAAATAGTTTGAAAAAAATTTTGAATTTAGGATTTCTCAGTTTCAATGTAAAAGATGCTCTACTTTTCTTTCTTGTTTTTTATTTTCCGAAAGTTTTTTTCAGTGTCTCATATTCGGTTATCAATCTGATCAACCCAATCCTTCCTTCTAGTCTTTGTTGGAATACAAGCAGGTAACAAAAAGTTTTCAATGATGTTGCTAATTAGATAATATGCAATCAGTCTTGTTTATTTTCTAGATTTGTTTTCTCTCTCAAAAAGATATTTTTGCATACAGCTCTATTCAATGGTAACTTTCCTCTTTTAAAATTCCTAAGGAAAAACCAATAATCTAATGATTTAAATGAGAAGAATGTTTTTTTTTTAGCGGCAATATTTTTGTTTATAGCAACAGCTGGAATATGTATTGGATCTAATAATTTTTTTTTTCCTGATTTGAGTACTGTCTCTTCTACTTCAATAGATAGATTATTTCCCAGGCTAGAAGTCTACCAAACTACTTTGGTGTGGGAGTATTTTTCGTTGTTTAATACAAGACTGAAGCGCGTAATACTAAACTATAAGTTTAGATATAAACTTTGTAAAATTGAAAGGATATAGAATAAGGTTCATTAAAAACTTTATAAATTAAACTGTAGCAACTTATGCTTAATAATATTATGTTTTTAAGAACTATTTTTGCCTCAAGAGAATTAAGTTTTTAAAACTTTATGACTTCCTGAAATGCAATTTAATAATAGTAAACTCAATATCGCAAAAAATATTGAGATTAGAATGTTTGAAAGTATTGCAATGAGGAACTAAACTAATTTGTTATGCAACATCTGTGGTGTTACATAACAAATCTCTTGTGGGATAAATACAATTAGTTGTAAATTAATAAAGTTTTGTAGATTTATTTCTTAGTGATTAACAATTAAATTATATAATCCCTACTAAGAAACAGTCACAGTGGGTAAAAACATTGCGGAACACTTGCACAATCTGTCAATCAAACTTCCAATGTTTTGTGGGGATCTAAAAATCATCCTAAGATCTAAATTTTTGGAATTTAAGGTTTTTAAATCAAATCTTATCACTGGTAAAAAAACCCAGTTAAAGTTAAAAAAAAAGTTTAAAATGGACCACTCTAATATGAATTTTTAATTTTAGTTTACAACAAATTTATCAAAAATTCTCTTACTGAAACCCTTTAATAAACTTCTAGCAATTTTGTTTGAAAGCTGTTGATCTGAAAAATAATGCAAAAACTTTTGATTCTGACAATAAAATAGGAAACTTATGACCAAAAATATCATTTAACTTACATTACGCAGAAAAGCTAAATTAAAAAATGTTTCAACTTTGAGGAACAACCTCTGCCAAACAATATTGTGAATTGAATTGAACATTTTTACAAGATGTTATTCATTAATTTCATAATACAAATATAAAAGTTTCATTAGAGGTAAAAGATTAAGAAAATTATAAAAGTGTTATCTTGATACCATGCATTTAACTTATGGTACATCATACATGTTATCATGCGTTTATTAAGAAGGATACCCTCTGAAATGAGCTCATATCTCTGTAACAAAAAAAAAAAAATATGTTAAGTTGAAAACTTACAGAAAATAAGTTAATTGCTTAAGCAGCTGAAAAAGCAACCAAACCCATATTAGGTCATTAGTAAGTTTAGTAAAACCATGCCTGGCTATTGCGCATTAAATATATACAACTGAAGGTGTCAGAAATTGTTTGGGTGTCTTTGTATTAAATGCCATCTGTTTCTCCTATTTATAGAGTATGAAGTAATTTTAGTCAATTTAAAACCGATTACAAGAGATTTGTATTATTTAACACTAGAAGCAACACTAGAAGCCTGGAAAAATTGTTTTCAATACTTCCTAAAAAACATTGTTTAAATTATTCATTAGCTGATTCATTAGCTGATTATTGCCTTAAAATATAAACATTCGTTTTATGTTTAAAAAAATGTTTACCAACAATTGTAAGAAGGATTCAAAAAAATGTTTACCAACAATTGTAAGAAGGATTCAAAAAAATGTTTACCAACAATTGTAAGAAGGATTCAAAAAAATGTTTACCAACAATTGTAAGAAGGATTCAAAAAACTTAAAATGTAAAAGCATGAGACTTAATAATAATACACATATAATAATAAAAAATTTCAGTTTTATGATAAAACTTATGTAAGTTCGTACATACATTTCTTAAATATATATTTCTTCATATTGCACACATATCTTTCATCTTTTTCACTATAACCAGGGTTGGCCAGGAAAGCGTGCAATTTCATGTCATAATATGACCAAATATTATTTGACACAAATATTATTTGATTTGAAAACTTGACCACAGCTGTTAATATGTTTTGAAAATTTGTATACGCTTATGCTAAATATGCGCTGAAAAAATTATTTCAACTTAACTATAAAGAAACTTAAAAAAAAAACTCATCTTTAAAGAAGGAAGTAAATCTTCGTAAAAAAAACATAACAAAAAAAAAATAACTTTACTAAAACTAAAATAAAAAATTAAAACTTATCCAAAATAAATAATAAACTATTTTTTTTTTTTTTTTTCAAACATCTTCCCTTCCAACAAGGCTGCAAGCAACCTCTAATTAGTGTTGGAAGTTACTGGAAGAGAAAAGATGAAGATTGTAGAGCAAGATAATGATTGACAGACGACTTAAAAGATTGCAAATTGTATGAATCAGGAATGCAAGATGAAGGAAGCAAATTCCAAAGAACTGATGTTGGAGGAAAAAAAAGTAGACGAATAAGAGTTTTTGGAGCACTTAGGAACAGTTACAGAAATAGGATGAGACTTAATAAAATGACGAGTAACATGAGAGTGAGTTTTAGTAGATGGCACAAGAGACACTAGCTCTTTAGAGCAGTGCCCATTATAGTATTTGTAGAAAAGAGAAAGAGAAGCAACATTACGACGATGTGATAATGGTTAAAGGTTGGTTGCAAGAGCAGGTCCAAAAAAATTTATCTTCTAGGATTAACTCTTACATCTGAAAAATCAGAAGTAAGAGTTAATCCTAGAAGATAATTTTTTTTTCTGAAAAATCAAAAGTAAGAGTTAATCCTAGAAGATAAAGGGTAGATGACTCATTGAGTACATCACCGTTCATAAATATAGGAAGGTCTAAATTATTGTGATAACGATTGGCTGAAAGTAAGAGTTAATCCTAGAAGATAAAGGGTAGATGACTCATTGAGTACATCACTGTTCATAAATATAGCAAGGTCTAAATTATTGTGATAACGATTGGCTGAAAGTAAGAGTTAATCCTAGAAGATAAAGGGTAGATGACTCATTGAGTACATCACCGTTCATAAATATAGCAAGGTCTAAATTATTGTGATAACGATTGGCTGAAAAAAATTGAGTTTTATCTGAATTAAAGTTCACCAGCCACTGTGAGCCATACTGTAGCAGAAGCAAGATCTTTTACAAGCTCAAATGCCCTTTTAAGCAATCAGAAAGAGTTGTCTTCTTATCATGGCAAGAGTAAATGGTCGTATTATCAGCAAACAATGCCACTTTAGATAAGAGAATATCTGGAAGATCGTTAATGTAAATTAAAAAGAGTATAGGGCCAAGGATTGAACCTTGAGGAACGCCTGAGGTTACAGAATAAGAAGAAGAGTGCTGTCCATCAAGGACAACCTTTATACTACGATTGGGAAGGAAGGATTCAATAATCTTAAAGATGTTTCCAGAACCACCGTTAAAAGAAAGCTTATGGAGAAGACCAGTATGCCAAACTTTATCAAACGCTTTAGAAATGTCAAGAGCAATGGCCTTAACCTCTCCACCTTTATCTAATGCGCGATAAAACCTATCGGTTATTACTGATAGCAAATCAGCCGTAGAACGAGAAGATCGAAATCCATATTGATGATCAGAAAGTAAATTATTAGATTCAAGATGAGAGATTAAGTGTTTGTTAATTAAAGATTCAAAAACCTTGCTTATGATAGGAAGAAGACTAATGGGACGGTAGGTAGACAAATCAGATCGCTCTCCAGAATTTAAAAAAATAGGGATAACAGATGCTGCTTTCCAGCAGGCCGAAAAACAAGGCTCTGATAAGCACTTGTTGAATAGTTTTGAAAGGATAGACGAGAGCTCCGGAGAACACTTCTGCAAGACTGTAACAGGTAATTAAAGATTCTCCAGACGTCACGAGAGCCTAATTTGATGAAAAATGATGAGATACCAGATTTCATGATCTGAGAAAAGCGGGCTTTGGCATTAGACAAAACATTTTTACAATGGTTCCTAAAATTGCTACTAAAAATTGTCATAACTTTTTATTGTCTGATTTTCATAATTTTTTCACCTCATATATACTGTATTTGAGGGCTTTCTAAATATGTATAACATTCTATTATTTGATCAATTTCAAAAAATCAATCCACATATCTATTAGTAAAGATAAATGTGTCGAAGTATTTATTTTCAGTGTTATTTAAAAATCAATTTTTTCAGTGCGTTTGTTAAAAACCGTGACTAAATCATCAAAACAAAATATTATTTGAGTGGTCATATAAAGTCTTGAAATTGCACGCTTTCCTGACTGAGCCTGTATAAGGCTATAAAGTATCTTATGTCTTATCTTCAATATCTTTTACATAACATATAAACTTTTCTTTTTTTTCTTTTTTTGCATTAATGAGTATTATTGCCTTAAAGCTATATTTACTCAATTAGTTGAAAATATTTGTCATTTATTTTGGACTATTTATTTTGCTAAAATTGTTATAGGTTTCAAAACAATGTTTTTTTAATCAATCATAAATTTGTGGTATTTCTTTTTACTTGGACTGTTAAAAAAATGTTCACCAACTGGTAGATGGTTCTTTGTTATTTTATTACTCATCTAACTTTATTTCATATTTACGTTTTCTGGGTCATTTGTTCAAAAGTAAACAAAAGCATTGAATATATAAATTAAACAATCAAATTAACATAATTATTAAAGAATATTTGGTATTTGTTATACTTTTCACTGAGGCCTCTGATGATCCAGATGGGATCCATCTGATGATATAGATGGGATCCATCTGATGATCCAGATGGGATCCATCTGATGATCCAGATGGGATCCATCTGGTGATCCAGATGGGATCCATCTGATGATCCAGATGGAATCCATCTGATGATCCAGATGAAATCCATCTGATGATCCAGATGGGATCCATCTGATGATCCAGATGGGATCCATCTGATGATTCAGATGGGATCCATCTGATGATCCAGATGGGATCCATCTGATGATCCAGATGGAATCCATCTGATGATCCAGATGAAATCCATCTGATGATTCAGATGGGATCCATCTGATGATCCAGATGGGATCCATCTGATGATCCAGATGGGATCTATCTGATGATCCAGATGGGATCCATCTGATGATCCAGATGGGATCCATCTGATGATCCAGATGAGATCCGTCTGATGAACTAGATGGGATCATATGAAAATGTGCAGTCGATGCAGATATCAAAATAATAAAAAAAATACAGTTGATACATAAGGAACAATATGAAGGTATATGTACAGTTAAACAGGAATTGATTATAAATTGAAACCATACAGATGGTATTTTAAGAATTCTCATAAAGATGGTTCTTTAACTAGAAAGTCAAATAATAATGATCAGCATCATGGTAAAACAAGTTTAATAGCTGATTAGGGTCTTTATAAGTACCTTGCATTACTCTGTGGATTTGACCCTCTTCATGAAAGTGGTTATTCATCTGATTGCAAGAGTTCATTTATGGACAGAGTTTACAACAGCATGTAATTCCCAGTTTCATGCAGTAGAGCAAAGGAATATACAGGAATTAGAATTAGGGGGAATTACTACAGTTATTAGAGGCAGATGCAGATGTAGGAAAATAGAAAGAGTCTAAGGGACATTGTGAAAATCCTGGGGTTAATAAAACAAAATGAGCAAGAATATAGGTAGGTATTAAAGCTGTAATTAAAAATTACTCAATTATGCAAGTGCTGAGAAACAGACTTTAAAATAATAATGATGATGTTGATGATTAAGATGATTATGATAATGATAATGATAAATCATGGTTTATCACATTTTACCACCCCAGCTACAAACCTGACTCTAATCAAAATCAAGACCCTGTTGGTTACTATTAACTTGTAGTTATTTTATGGTTTTACTTATTTTTAATGATTGTTGTTAAAGAAATGTGTTGCAGTTATAATAAAAACATTAAAATCCAGTTTTGTTCTAAAATTTCTTTCTAAATTTGTATTATTTTAGTTTATATTAATAATTAAATTGAATGTTGATAAGCTATAATATCTGTTGGAATTCATTTCAATTAATAATGTTTTACTGGTTCTAGTGTTTAAGAAGTTAAGAAGTAGTTAGTGTTTAAATTGTTAAAATCTTTTAATGACTAAAAAATTTTCTTTTAGTTAACAATAAAATGCATGGGTTTTTACAATAAATATTTTGGAATCAAATATCATTTGCCAAAAATTGATTTAATAGCACTACCAAATTTCCCAATCAGTGCAATGGAAAACTGGGGCTTGGTAACCTATCGTGAAAATGCTTTGTTATTTGATTCATTAGAATCTTCATTTTATTGTAAAATAAATGTTTCACTAATTGTTGCTCATGAGCTTTCTCACAATTGGTTTGGTAATCTTGTTACAATGAGGTGGTGGACTGATTTGTGGTTAAAAGAAGGCTTTGCAACATGGTGCCAGTATTTGTGCATTGATCATTGTTACCCAAACTTTAACATTTGGGAAAATTTTGTTTCGCAAACTTTAGTAAAAGCTCTACAGCTTGATTCTTTAACAACTAGTCATCCTATCGAAGTTTATGTTGATCATCCATCACAAATTGATGAAATATTTGATACAATATCGTATTGTAAAGGTTCAACAGTTATAAGAATGCTTCATGATTATCTTGGAGAAGATATTTTCCGAAACGGACTTTGTACTTTTTTGAAAACATTTCAATTTCAAAATGCTGCAACAAGTAACTTGTTTTTACTAATTTTGAAGTGTGAATTTTTATTGAGTATAATTAAAAAAAAATTTAATTTTTTTTATTATTATTTATTTTTACATTCCAGATGATCTTTGGCATCATCTAGAATTAGCAAGTTCTATACCAGTTAAGCAGGTAATGGAATTATGGACCAAAGAAATGGGTTATCCTGTTTTGGTTGTCACAAGTAATCATGTTGAATCTCAAAGAACTGTAACAATCACTCAAAAGAAATTTTCATCAAATGGTTCTTTTGGTATTGATTTTGTTATTGAATTTTAAAAAATGTGAATATTTTTTATTCATTTTTTTTTAAATTTTCTAACCTAATCTAACACCTCCTTTAAGCCAGGAGATATTTACCAAGAATTTTTTTTCTCTTCTTATGATCTTTCTATCTAATTGTTTTCTATTCTGTCTAATCTAATTTCTGTCTATATTTTCTTTATATTAATGATCTTATATATTTCCTTTATGATAATGAACAAAAAGAACCTCATTGATGTGGCTCTTTTTGCTGATGACACAACTTTATATTCCAATCTTGACAGTTATCACTAATTGATCACTTAGAAATTGATCTTGAGTGCGGTTTCTCTTCTGCAATGTTTGTTACTTGAAATGGCTTCTGTCTTTGTGGCTTAAAATGGCTGGTGAATTTTATCCAAACAAAACCTGTTCACTGCTAATAATTCTTATTTAGTCCTCTTTTTTCTCACTTTCTAGATTATCTTTTACAACTGACCTCTCATGAAAACCATATATACAATCCATTGCATCATTAGCATCTTGCCATTTCCTTCTCTAAACTTTCCTTCTCTAAACTCCTGATTCTATTTTCTATATCATTTCTTAATTTCTTATTCGTCTCATAGAATATTATTGTCGTATTTGGGCTCATTCTACTAATGACGCTCTTTCTCTTCTATACAAAGTTCAATACATTTATAAATGTTTGGACCTATATGTTTTGTAAATGTTTGGACCTAGCTATGGGAAAGAGGTTCTAGCTGCATATCTTGAACTTCTTTCCCATTGTCCTTAAGTTGCATCTTAATATATATGTATATATATTATATATATATATATATAATATATATACATATATATAATATATATGTATATATATTATATATATATATATATATATATATATATATATATATATATATATATATATATATATATATATATATATATATATACATATATATATATATATATATATATATATATATATATATATATATATATATATATATATATATATATATATATATATATATATATATATATATATATATATATATATATATATATTAAATTCACATTACAGTTGTTGTGAATTTAAATGTTTCTTTTTGTTGAGGTCAATTTCATTATAAAAAGCCATTTTCATTATATAAAAAAAGATATTTTATACAAAAACTAACATATATTTTTGATGGCAATTATCAGTTAATATAATATCTTGATATCACAATAAAAATTATAGATGTAATTTTATGTATTATTTTAAATAATTGTATAATTATATAATTACTTTTCATGACACACTACCTAATTTGTAGCAAAAATATCAACAAAGTTCTTGTCAAAATGTTTGTAAAAGACTGCACTTTTTATTTTTTATTTTTGTACTTTTTAAATGTTTCTCAGTCTTCATTTTTTGAAAATCAAAGGTTTTTGATTTTTTGAAAATCAAAGGTTGAGAAACTTTTAAAAAGTACAAAAATAAAAAATAAAAAGTGCAGTCTTTTACAAACATTTTGACAAGAACTTTGTTGATATTCTTGCTACAAATTAGGTAGTGTGTCATGAAAAGTAATTATATAATTATACAATTATTTAAAATAATACATAAAATTACATCTATAATTTCTGAAACATTGAAATTCTTTTCACAATTATTTTCAAAGTTCTTTATGGAGGTAGTGCTGGATTCTACCAATAATTAAGAAGGATTCTTCTTTAATATGGTATGGTGTAGTGGTTGAGCACTCGCTTTATTAGTGGGAAGTTGATTATAAGTTGTAAATTGTTTTCAATGTTTCCTATTGGTCAGTTATTTATTGTATTTTCAATATCAATCAAAACCAGGTGAAGCCTTCCAGTTGATTTATGTAATTATCCTTTTCACAAAACTAAATATTTAATTAAATTTAAGACATTTGAGTTGGAAGTTGACAGAAAGCAAAAAGGTGAATTAAAACAAAGAAAACAATTGACAGAATTGTATAAGCCAGGAAAACATGGGATAGAATTACAAAGTATTGATGTGCAAGAAAAGAACAAAAGATAAAAGTATTTTGAGCATGAATGAACACTTGCATTAAAAGGATGCACCTTAGCTAAATGAATAATTGTGAAACATTGTGAGAACATGAGAGTGGAACATGTGATAACTTGAGCAGCAACCATAATAGTCAAGGCTCAAATTAAATGAGAGCATTTTTTCAAAAAAGAAACCTCACTATGGATTTGTAAGTATTGCAGGTCCACTTTGCAGTACTTACAAATGTTATAACATTGTTAATTCTTATTGTAATCATTTCTTTTATGCTTCATCAAACAATCTTCATTTTGAAAAGAAGTTTGTGAATTAGCTTAATGAATGTTTAATTGTCAAAAAAAAAAGACAATGAACCAACTGCAAGTAGATGTCGTCGAAAACCAGTTACGTTTGTTAATAATTCTAATAAAAATAAAAAATGGCGTGTATCTGGCTTACTTGAATCTCATTCATCCAATGAATTTTTTTTTGCTGCCAGTAAAAAATTAAGAGATAAATCTATTGTTATTGCTGCCAAGAACATTTTAATTATTTTAAACACAAATAAAGCAAATAAATATTCAGCAGACGAAGCACTGGCTTTTATAATTGATGTATTAATGTATTGATGCATCATCAGTGTGACAAAAGCTTACTATAAATTATTTAGAAGTGGAGAAAAACATCTACCCTGCTTACAATGATGTCAGGGATGCAAAATTGAAATGTTATCATGCAAATGTAACAGTGGAGGACTATTCAGCTTTAGTTCCTTTAAAAGATTTAATGATTCATACTTTGCAAAGAATCTGTGCAGTTCCGGACACTCAACACCAGCCTGACACTCAAGTGTAAGGCTGGTGTTGGTGGTGCTACTGACCAAAGCATTTATAAACAAGTTTTATCAGAACCTGAAATGAAAAGATATTTAAAATGTGAAGAATCAATATTTATTACTTGTCTAGTCCCATTGGATATATTTATTACTTGTCTAGTCCCATTGGATTTGACTAGTTGTCATCCACCTATTGTAGACCCATAAGATTTACATAAAAAGTGACATCCAAGGAATCTGTGATCCAAAAAGATTAGGACATTAAAAATGAAATAGTAAGCTTGGGTATGATTTTATGATTAGGGGTTTGTGTATCTTCTATTGAAGTGAATTGTATTATTGAACTTACGATGATTGATCGGAAGGTTCAATTAGTATTATCTGAAATAACTAACTCATACCAATGCTGTTCAGTGTGTGGTGTCTCTCCAAAATATATGAATAATCTTGATATCCTTAATATATATTATACTAACAGAGAGTTCAAATATGGTCTTTCCAGTCTCCATGCATGGATTCGATTTTTTGAGATGATTTTGCACATTGCATATAAAAAGGAAAAAAGGAAGTGGCAAGCAAGATTTAACGTACACATAAAAAAGGCATTCAGACTGATTTTATGAACCAAATGGGACTTGTTGGTTTTCCTAATAGTGGTGGTTCTGAAAAAAGCAATGATGGTAATACTTCAAGGCATGCTTTTTCAGCATATAAATAAACAGCTGAAATTCTAGGTATTGAACAAAACCTTATATTCAGATTATACATTATCTTGGTTTAACACTCTCTTCAGAATAAGAAATAGACTGCTTAAAATTCAGGGATTATTGTTTTGACACTGTTAGACTATATATGTCCCATTATCCACGGTATTACATGGCTCAATCTGTGCACAAAGTATTGATACAAGGAGATGACATAATTAAAAGTCTTACATTACCCATTGAACTTATGTCAGAGAATGCTCAAGAGCTCAAAATAAAGACTTCAAATTTTATCGTGAAAATATTAGCGGAAAAACATCCAGAAGAGCAACCAATACTGATCTGATTAATAGACTCCTAGTTTCCAGTGATCCTGTTATTTTGTCACTGCGTAAATCAACATTACACCAAACAAATCATAAAAAATTATCTTTAAAGAAGCGTGATCTCATATAAACTCCAAAGTATAGTGAATATAGCACTCATAAAATATCTGCTAATACCAAAAATAGGTTGTTACTAAACAAATTAAAGATATCTATAGCAACAAAATAACAAAATATTACCTTTATAAAAAGCGCAGACATCATATTAGTCCTCATGCTAATTTTAATGAGTATAGCCCTAATATTAAATTAGTTATGAATTTTGTCCAGTAAGCGCCCCTGGGGTTACCTCAGGGTTCTAATTTTGGTCCTGTATTGTTTCTTTTCTACATTAATGATCTTCCTGGCAATCTCACATCTAAAGTGACTCTATTTGCTTAAAACTCAGGATACTCTCTTTATGACAAAAGTCTTTTTTTTTCTTCTTTTGCTTGGAAAAAGCAGCCGATCTTAAATATGATCTATCTTCTGTGACAGCTTTGGATTTGCAGTGGCTCATGAGTTTTAACTTCAAAATTCAGTTATTTACTGCAAACAACTATCAAAATATTATTGAAATATATTGATGAATGGCAACCCAAATCTGTTATTCATCCCTGTATGGAATACTGTTGTCATATTTGAACAGGTTCTTCTAATGATGCTCCTTATCTTCTAGGCAAGATCCAAAAGATACATTGTAAATGTAGTTGGTTTATCTGCCAAACTGAAGCCATTCTCCCATCGTCTTTTTTACAAATACTAAAGTAGTAAAAAAAAACAACTTTGGAAATAGTAATAAATAACTGAAAACTTTGGAAGACCAATAATAAGTAAAAAAGAAGTAATAGCGGAAGTAATAACTAAAAACTGGTAAAAAAAGTGGTAATAATTAAATAAAATGAGGAAGCTTTATTTTTTTTAAAAGATATGTAAAATTGACTGTGGTTTTTAATTTTTTTTTTAAATTATGCAGTACTGTTAATAATAATATTAATGACATTACCTTAGTGTGTTTACCTTCTTTTTTTTATTACTATTTATTTTGGTGCTCAAATATATCCTAAAGTCCTTACCCCAGAGCACCACAGATAAGCATTTAACCAGAAAGTTCATGCCTCCTATCTTAACAAAGATGCATGTATATTAGGGTGTCCCAACAAAAATTTTTTTTTTTTAAAAAGAGATGTGCACTATCTATAACTTGGTTAGTAGGTATATTATGACCAAATATATCAGAATTTTTAAATTTAAACTATACTATAAGTGCTTGGTGTAAAAAAACTATAAACTATAAGTGCTTGGTGTAAAACTTCAAATTTTCCAAATTTTTAAATTTAAATTTTTTAAAATTAAATTTTGTAAATCTTAGAAAAAAAATTACGTTAAACATTTATTATAATAAATTTATATGACATATATGTTGCATATGTTGAAGAGTTGTGAAAAGAATTGTTGAAAAAATATCACAAGCACTTCAAATCTGATTTAGCTGGGTTTTAGTCAGATTTGCATTCAATGTTTTTCTATGGTATTTTGCAACCAAGACATTCTGCTTCATATATCGTCATTTTGGTATAACATAATAAAGTCTTGGATTACTTTTATATTTCTTTCTGCACAATCATTGGTGACTTCCATATTTTTAACAAAAAATTTAAAGTTGTCTAAAAAAGTAAAGTCCCCTTGTGCAGCAAACTCAGCCTAGTCATGGGTAACTTGGGCTCGGCAAAACAAAATCCAGCTCTGATCACCAACAAAGTTTGATAGTGTTGTAAACAGTGTGATTGCAGGTATTTCCGGTTTACCTTTCATAAACTCTTCAGGAGCTGTAAACTGTAAGAGTTTTTAGAGTATATTTTTCTTCTCGTCTTTTTCAACATCATCATCCACTAAAGCTATTATAACAAGCTGCTGACTTAAATACCAGGTATGCTTTTGGTATGCTTTTGCATGCTTTTCAGTATTGATTGAGAAAATTCAGGATATTCTTTACTTAAATCAAACACATTTTTGATTGCTGCTAAATCATTAGCTGGTGCTTTAATACTCAGAGAGCCTTTGAAAAACCAAGGACAGTATGTTAAAGATATAAATAAAGAAACTGTCTGAACCATCTTTTTCTCTTTTTCATTCATGATGTTTGAGATGTCTTTCGTCATTTCTAATGTAAAATAAATTGCATCTGCCATAAACCTTGCTTCGTGGCAAGCTCCTGGTTGATGAAATTTTATAGCAGGAACATGACCACCAAGGTACTAAACAAATAATTGACAAAGATTTTTGTAGCCTCCTCTCTTGAAAATATTTTCATTTAGTGTAGTTTCCCCAATCGTTAATGCTGTCTTGGCTATATTATAGCTAGGTGATTCAATCTCTAATAAAGTCCAGTTAAACTTAACCAGATTATCTGATGATGTGTCTATCTTGTCAACAATCTTTGACCAAGCCTTCTGTAAGCGCACATAGATTTCTCTTCTCTGAGACTTGGTCTTGGTGCCAGTCAGTGCAGTCATCAAATGTTTAATATGTACTTCAATAATATGGCAACGACACATGTACCAGACAAGACTTGTATTAAGGATAGTTGATAGGATTGTAACTGCTCCCGCAAATTTTCCAGTGTTGAATGCAGTTGTGTTGCAGCAAACACCAATGATATTGTTGCCAATATCATAGTATTCTAAGAGATTGAGAATTAAATGTGCCTGCTTGGACCCAGTTGAATTTTCTGCCTAGACTATGCCATGCAAAAAGTTATCTCTACATTCCAAATCCGGACTTCTTCAAGCTATCTAACAAGTTTCCCATCAAAATGGACTATGAGTTTTTTCCTTTTGAAGCATTACCAACATCCTGTCATTGTGTTTCTCCTAAATCAATTAAATTGAACATTTAAAATAATAAAGATAATAAAACAAATAAACTTAATCATTTTTGTGAAAAATAGTTACCAAGATTTTCAATAATTCTGTATCTTTTTCTGCGTAGAGTAGATCTTGATCAAATCTCAAGTCAACACCTACTTTATTGCAGATAGCAGAAATTATAGCAGTCTGGGGCCTAACTACAATTCTACACCAAACTCTAACAGCAGAAGTAGCTTCAATTAGTTCATCAGACGTTAATTCTAAAATTATTTTTTGATTTTTTTAATTTAGATACATCATGTTCAGAATCATCACTTTCTTCACATAAAATGAAACTTTCAAATGGTCTAACATCATCTTCAAATTTGATTTGTCCATCTAAAGCTTTGTCTGTGCTTTTCTTGTCTGTTGACTTCTGTAATCTATAAAATGTTTCCACAGTCCTTTTCTCTTTTTGAGCCTTTGTGTTTTTCTGATCATTCGACTGCTTAACTCTTTCAAATCTCTCCTTTCTTTGCAGAGCCCTAATTTTGAATTCTTTATCTTGTTGTGCAGTCATGGTTATATTCCTTTTAGATCTCTGGTCTTCGTAGAAGTCTTCATCTTCTTTCTTTGCTTCTTCTGTTTTTCTCTAATCTTTCATTATCATGTCAATTATATGAGGAACAGATATATCAAACAATGTATTAACCTCCACCTGGAAATCTACTTACTTTTGAGTCCAGATCCTTTGCTTGAACTCCAGTTTAGTTTATTGCATCCATTCATTTTGTTATATTTCTCTGTGTGTTTTAGGTTCCTTTCAATAAAAAATATTACATAGCTGAAGTTAATAAAAAACAAGATAATCCTACAATAATTTTTTGTTGTTGTAAAATTTACCTAACAAATCTTCCACTAAAAATATTACATGTTAAACCAGCTTTTATCTAGATGTCAGTGACAGCTGAAGTTACACATCTAATAATTGATTTTTCACATGCTCTATACTAGCAAACTAGACTTCTGGTTCCTGTTTTTGTTGGACAGGCAATAATTTCTTTGCTGGACTGAAATCTGGTGCTCTTATAAAAAAGAGAATCAATAGAAATACATATTTATATTCAATCAAGAATCAATAGAAATATATATTTATAATATGAATTGTGTTTAAGTAAATAAATTAAGATAAAAACTAGATATTAAAATTACCTTGAAGGTTTGAAAAAGTGAAAATATTGCAAGATATTTTTGAGACTGGGCAGCTGGTTGACTGGAAGCTCATTAATGGGATATTTTAATAGATATAGAGATTGTCTTAAACTGCTTTGAACAGTGTACTTTTCCTTTTTTTCCTGGTCCTTTTTTGCTGGATTTTTTTTACTGTACAACCCATTTTTACAAATATATTTAATTATGAAACTAAAAATGTTGAAACCATTTTAAATCTCATGTATATAAAACTAATCAAAAGTTAATAAGTAAAAACTAGTGGTGGTTAATAAAGTACCAATAATCAAGAAAAAAACTGAAATATATTAAATATATATAAGTAAAAGATGATTACTTTAAATATAATAGTTAAAAAAACTTTAAAATTAAAAAACTCAAAAATGATAAAAAATACTTTAAAATAAATGTCATCCTTTTTTCATCGCAGGTACATTTAAAATATTAAAAACTTAAAAAATATGACAAAAATTGACGTTTTTCAAAAATTTCAAGTTTTACACCAAGCTTTCACACTTGTCTCAGATTAATACTTTTTATATATTTTGTAATATTTTTATATATTTTATATTATATATTTAATGATAACAATATACTTTCTACATACCTAATATCCCAAAATAAGATCGGAATAGAAAGCAATTACCATCGATCTGTACATGGCAGGTCCATTTGATAATACTATTTCCTTAGCCATTTTTTTAGTGGCAGGTCAGAGTATGTATTTTAATATTACTAAATTTAGTTCAAATTACTAAAATTAGTTATATTTATATTATTATATTATTATATTAGTTACATTATACCTATATATTAACTAGTTATAATTTTTCTTGTCTTGATCTAGCATATCACCATTTTCTATTTTAATTGTCTCTTAGTCACTTTAAAAGCTTATCCATTGAATTTTGGTTGTATTTTCTGTATTTGACTGCAATATAATTAGATTTTTTTGATTCTATAAAAAAAAAAAATTATCTGACATTGACAAACTAGTTTGTTTGGTTTTGCACTTCAATAGCATAATTATGCTTATTATGTAAACAATCTTTGTTTTTAACTCTACTTTTTTTCAGTCCCAAGCCCTTTGATCAATAACATGTCTATGACCTGTGCTTTTTCACTCTATAGTATTCTGCATATGTATGTATGTATGTATGTATGTATGTATGTATGTATGTATGTATGTATGTATGTATGTATGTATGTATGTATGTATGTATGTATGTATGTATGTATGTATGTATGTATGTATGTATGTATGTATGTATGTATGTATGCATGTATGTATTTATGTATTTATGTATTTATGTATGTATGTATGTATGTATGTATGTATGTATGTATGTATGTATGTATGTATGTATGTATGTATGTATGTATGTATGTATGTATGTATGTATGTATGTATGTATGTATGTATGTGTGTGTGTGTGCGTGCGTGTGTGGTGTGTGTGTGTGTGTGTGTGTGTGTGTGTGTGTGTGTGTGTGTGTGTATTATTAAATATCAAACAAAAATGGGTGGTTTTACAACAAAAATTTTTTCCTTCTGATCTTACGTTTTTTTTTTAATTCAGATAGCAAGAAGTTATGGTCTGTGCCAGTTGCATTAAAAACAAGCAAAAAACATTTTATAAAAGTTCTTATGAATGAAGAAGAAATTATTCTAAACATTGATAATATGCTTGATTGTGATTGGGTAAAGATAAACCCTGAAATAATAGGTTTTTATAGAGTTAGTTACTCACAAGAAATGATGATACAGCTTCAGTCAGCGATTAATCAGTTTTCTACTATTGATCGTCTTAATTTTGTAAACGATTTGTTTGCTCTTACCACTGTTGGTATTTCATCAACATCATGTTTTTTAGAATTTTTGTCTAGTTATAAAGATGAAATGAATTATGCAGTTTGGCGTGATATTACTTCAAGTATTTCTAAAATTTGTATACTTCTTCAAAATACCAATTGTTATAACAATTTTCAACAATTTGTTGCAGAACTTTATAGACCTGTTGCCCAGAAACTTGGTTGGACAGCTGCTAAAAATGAAGGTATTTATTTTTAAATTTCTTTTTTTGAATAGTGTACAAAAGTTGCAATTTGAGCTTTAAACATTCAAGATTTTAACATTGCCAAGCTCTATTATACAGGTATAAGGCAAAGATAAGTTTTTTTTTTTTTTTAAGGTCAATTTTTTTCTTAGCAGTTTATTTTTTCCTAGTAGATTATTTTTGCAGCAACCATGTATAAGGAAACCAACGTTGTAATAAGGGTTTAAAGTCTAACAAACAGAGATTTTATGCTGAACAATATTTATAAATTATTTTCAGATCTAATCTAATAGAATATCTTTAAAATAGTCTGCATAGCTTTAACAATTCCATAGCCTGGTAAGATCAAAGCAAAGAGAGAAAAAAGATTCAGAAATAAACAATGACAAACATAGAAAGAGATAAATTAGACAGAATTTTGAATAGGAATAATATATTTCCAAATGTTATTAGAAAGAGCTTTGTAGACATAAAGAAATGAGGTAAAGATGATTATGATCCACCTTATAATAACAATTACATTAAAAATTTTTATTTGTTTCTTACTTTAAATATAAAATAAATTTATTACTTTCTTTAAACATAAAAATCAAGAGCATAAATATAAACATAGAATCTAATTGCTGATAATATAATGGTTGCTTATATATAATGGTTATTAGCTGGTATATAATGGTTATTAGCTGGTATATAATGGTTATTAGCTGATATATAATGGTTATTAGCTGATATATAATGGTTATTAGCTGATATATAATGGTTATTAGCTGATATATAATGGCTATTAGCTGACCAATTTTTACTACAGCATACAAGTACTAAATCTGTAACAATCATACAAATGCTGAATCTGTAACAGTGTTGGCAAGCTCAGCTTATCATAGTTCCTAACTAGGTAATTTCATTACCTAGTTCACCAAGGTTCTTGTTTCAGAGTTAAAGAAATAAGAGAGGCTTGTAACCACAAAAATCAGCCTCCTGAACTGTGGTGGCCCTTTTGATATATATACATATATATATATATATATATATATATATATATATATATATATATATATATATATATATATATATATATATATATATATATATATATATATATATATATATATATATATATATATATATATATATATATATATATATATATGTTATAAAAATAAAGAGCTGTTGATTTTTCTGTAATAAAAAGAGATGATTCAGCAGTGATGAAGACCAAATATAAAATCCTGCAGAATTAAACAACTCCAAATTAACTCTTATAGTGGCAAAATTTCGCTAATCTGCAGTTAGTTAAGTACAACACTGTGTTTTACCTTAAGATTTTAAGCAGTTAGTTAAGTACGACACTGTGTTTTACCTTGGGATTATATAAACAATATATAAAACATTCTAATGATGATAATATCATCTTTTATTAGATTGTTAATTTATACAATGATGATGATGTTATCTTTTATTTGATTATTAATTTATACAATGATGGTTATATTTTCTTTGATTAGATTGTTAATTTATACAATGATGATAATATTATCTTTGATTAGATTATTAATTTATACAATGATAGCATAATCATTATTCTTTATAATAATTATTGTACATTTTATGTTATCATTATAAAGATTATTCTATATAAAGATGTTTCTACTAACATTATATAGAATATTTTATATAATGATGGTTATATTACCATTGAATAGAATATTTTATATAATGATGGTTATATTACCATTGTATAGAATATTCTATATAATTGTTATCATAATGATTAGTTATATTAATATTAGTCATATTTATATTAATATTAGTCATATTTATATTAATATTAGTCATATTTATATTAATATTAGTCATATTTTTAGTGGATTTTTTTGAAAAATTAGCAGTTTAATTTGTTTCAGATTATTCACTCAGTATGCTTCGATGTCTTGTATTAAAAAAGTTAGGAGAAGTTGGTGATCCTGGAGTAATAAAAAAATCTATGGAAATGTTTGCTTCTCACGTTAATGGTATTCAGAATATTCCAGCGGATTTGCGTGTTGCTGTTTACAGGTTTTTTTTCTAATGATATATCATTGCCTCACAAAATTTCACAATAACTTGCATTATCATGTAGCCAGAGCTTGAAATAACAAACTTTTTTTATTTCAGACAGTTTGTAGCAGAAATAGTTTAGAGTGTCAGACATAACTGATAAAAATCAAAGATAAAAATTTACTTATTTCATAATTTTTTTAAAATAGTTTTTTATGGTTTATTATTAAAAAATATGTGCAACAAAAATTTGTCTATATAGCAATGATTATATTTTTGTTGAATATTTTATATAATGATGATTCAGGGTGGCCACTGGTCATAGAAATCATGAAAATCATGGAAATGTCATTGAATTTTATTTGGTCATGGAAAAAGTTATGGAATTCCTAATTTTTTATTAAAAGTCATGGAAAATTTTTGGAACTTTTTAAAATGATCTTAATTTTTTTCTACTTGTGATATTTTTAGGATGCAAAGAAAAGTACAAGTATGTCTGATTCCTTTTTTGATTTATTTTTTCAGTGTAAGTTATTAGAGAAGTAAAAGAAAAAGAGTTTTTTTAGATATGATTTCAGAAACTTTCTACCAATTAGTTTTTCGTTTGCATGTTTTATAATGACCAAATTGCAAATGCTTAGTGCATGGCAAGTACTAAATATTTTACTCTAGTAATTTATCATAAAAGTTTATGAAGTGCCATGGAAAAGTCATGGAATTTTACTTTCAAATTTGAGAGGACACCCTGTGATTATATTATCATTATATGGAATATTCCTGAAATAACTAATCTTTTTATTTCGGACAGTTTGTCCTTGAAATACTTTAGTTTGTCAGGTATGACTGATAAAAACCAAATAAAAAAATTTACTCATTTCATAATTATTTTAGAATAATTCTTTACAATTTGTTATTAAGATGATATGTGTGACAAAAATTAGTTGGAATTACAATATTGAGAAATTGATAAATTGAAGATTTGAAATATTTTTTTTTCAATCCAATCCAAATCTTTCCACCAAAAATCAATTGCAAGAAGAATATTTAAGTATAGCTTTATCATTACAGCTTTTTATAAAAATAAAAAAGTTCAAAAAACTAATTTATAAACTATATTCAGGAATTATCTTTTTCCGGATATTTCCGGAATTCCGGATATTTTTTAAACTTTTTATATTTTCCGGATAATTAGTTTCCGAATATACAATTTATAAAATTTTTTCTGTTTATTACTATCAAATGAAACAGTAACAAGTATATATAAACAGTAAATTAGTTGTCCATAAATTACGGAACTTTATATTTAGTTAGCAAACAAAGCAAAAAAGATTAAAAGATTTTCCTCGCAGAGTAAACCAAAAATTAATATGCATTTTAATTAAAGTTTAATAAAAATCCCAGCGCAAAAGAGCGAATGATCTCCTACTTTTAAAATAAAATTAGCGATGCGTGTCAAAGTCTTCTTTTTAAAATTAATTGTAAATTTACATTTTTTAAATAGCTCTTTTAGCTATTAGCAAAGAGATTTCTTTTTTTATTGTTTTAAAACTTTTTTTAAGTAAATCACTTCGCTTATGGACTGAAACTTCTCTCAGTTTATTTGTCGGTGGTTCAAAATTTACTGCATCATTGTTTCGTTTTCTGTCCAGTCGTACCATTGCAAATCTCCATTCGTACACTTCTTGAAAGTATCATTTTTTCGCAAAATTTCTTATTAATTGGAGACTTTAAAAAGTTTTGACGATAGTATTTAAAAAGTTATGACGATGGTAGAATAATACAAAAGCTGTCAGAGAAATCAGTTTTTAATTTCCGTCAAATATGAGATATAATCGTTAAATTTAAACTCTTTAGAGATGAGTGAAATCTAATTCTAGAGTGCAGTGAAACAATGTATAGTTCGATCTAAGAATGAGAAATTTGGTATGACCTTCAACTAGTAGAAACTTCTATTAATCTTACAGTTACTGTAATACCGTGGTGTAATATGGTCGTGCGGTACAACTTATTTTCCTAAAGGGTGAAAAAAACTTATTATTACTAAGATTAATTACTTTGTTAGTAATAAGTTATTACATACAAGTAAGTGTTGTATAATAAAACTATATTCTAAACTATAAAGAATTTTATTCTATGTACTTATTTTAAAGAAATCTAAACATATGTACTTTGACTAAACGTCAAGTGAATCAAATTGCTTTTAAGTGCCATTATTAGGTTTTTAAAAACATTGCATTTTGAGGTATGTTTTCTTTTCAATTCAAAAAGCACGTGTCAAAATTAATTTTATTTTCTTTCAATTAAAAAAAAATCATATTTTTAAATCTTTTAAATTTTGAATCACGTAAATGAGCACGTGAATCATTAATAATGCCTCACCTTTTGTTTATCATAGTTAAAATAAATTTAAAACTTTTATTTAAACTTTATCTAACGAATGTTTAAACTTTTATAATTTTTGAACGTGGAGATTTTTTAATAAAAGAAGTCGTTGTACTAAAAATTAAGTTTAGAACATTTTAAGCACTGAGTGGAAGAACTAATTGTAGAAAACTAACTGATTACAGAAAAATAATTCAATATCTTTTTACTTTTTATTTATTTATTTTCTTTTTTAACATATTTATTACTAAAGATTTCTTATTTTTTTGTATTTTAGAAGTCTGGTGTTTTATTATTATTATTATTTCCTATCTTTTTACTGCGATTGAAGTGTGCTCCGAAAATAGTTAAAATAAAATCCATTTATATTTTCCAAAAGTTGGTGTTTTGCAGGTAATAAAATGTTTACTGAAAGAAGTTGGCCAGCTAAAGTGTCGGATATATGTCGGTTTATTTTGTAAAATTACTACAAAAAAACCAAAACGCTAAAATAAATAACGCCCAATGGATTTCAGTTATGGTGGCGCCTCTGATCCGTAACAATGCGTTAAACGTTTTTCTATTTGTATATCTTTGGTGAATTGAGGCAATATTTCATTATTCATTATGTATTTAAATGTATAAAAGCATGTCTAAAAAAGTTTCCGCATTGTTTAACAGCTTTTAAATATAGTTTTCTACTTCTTCTTTATCTTCATCATCTTCTTCTTATTATTATTGTTAAAATTTTATTGTTATTATTATTATTTTTTGATGAAAAAAGTTATGTAGTTTTTTATTCATATATACGTTGAATAAGGATACTTTTAAACTGGCATAATATTATAGTAATATAAAAGATGAAGGAGAGCACGCCCCCTCCCTCCTTGTTAACATCTCTTTGTAAATTCCGGATTTTTTCCGGATATTGCAAAAAAATTTTCCAGATTTTTTGCGGATATTACAAAAAAATTTTCCAGATTTTTTCCGGGTATTTGAGGAAAAAAAATTTCCGGATTTTTAAAATATGGTCAGGATAATCTATGTATATTGAATTGTAAATATATTGTAAATATATATAATACTTTGAATCACTTGAATGAATTGTAAATATATGCAATACTTTAAAACATTTAATACAAAAAAATGTCAATTGGGCAAAATGACCGATTGATATGTTATTTATTGGATGAGTGCCAGACAATGTTTCATGTCATTCTGACATTGACTGGCACTTGTCTGCTATATAACCTTTATTTCTAATGTATTGTGTTAGAGGTATGTAAAAGTCTATAAGATGAGAAATGATTGTCTTTAAAATAATTTTTTTTTTCAAATGTATGAAGCTTTAGTTTTTATTTTTACTAAGCATTACTATTTTTACTTATTTACTGTTTTTACTATTTATTTTACTAGTTTTTACTATTTATTAATGTTTAGTACAGTTATGAGTGTAGCAGATGAACACATTTTTCAACAAATGATAACTTTATATCAAAACACTGAACATGTTGAGGAAAGAGATAGAATTCTTAGATCTATTGGGAATTCAACAAATCCTAATTTAATTTCAAAAGTATTGGAGTTTGGTCTTTCTGTAAGGTCATCCTATTTGTTTTGTTCTATAAAAAAAGTTGACATAAAATAAATAGGTTAAAGAAATGTTTTTTTAACTTTTTTATTTTGTGTCATCTTGAATAAATTCACATAAGAAAATATATGATGTTTAGGATGAAGTTCAATCACAGAGTACCAAATTCGTTTTACGTGGCTGCACAACGAGGTGAGAATTTTAATATTTTTATGTATAAAATTTTTTAATAAATTTTTTTAAAAGTTGTGTGTCACATTAAATATGAGTTCTTCATATTGCTACTTAAAAAACATCATCCTATTAAACATCAATGTGTAATTAAGTAGCATATTTATATTTAATAGAAGATGGGTTGAGGTCTTAATCAGGATGAGGATAGTAATGTGATGTAGTTGTTGTGTTATTATTCTCATCTTGGTTTGGTATTTGTAAGTCTGGTTGCCATTTTTTAGTAAACTTAACTTACACCACCATTATATTAATTAATATTATTCAATGTTATCTTTTCAACATATTTTTATATTTTAACATTATTTTAATAGTTTCGCTCTTATGCCAGTTTGCCAATTTGCACTTCTTTGTAGGGGTTAACTATTCTGTTCTTAATAAATATGTGAAATACTTAGAATATTTAAATCAAAAAGGTATTTTTATTTGTGTGTGCGCGTGTGCGCTTGTGTGTGTGATGATATACAAAAATGACCATTTGCAGCGGCTATTTTGATTTAATAAAATATAATAACTTTTATTTTGGCAAAAAAAAATGTTTTTTGATTTGTTCTATTGCTACATTTTTTTATCGCTTAATGTATACATCTTGACATTTTAAATTAACTGTAATAAAATTGGTTCACATTAGTATGAAGTATGAAGTGATAATGTACCAATAGCTACTATCTTATTTACCATCTCTCCACCTAATAGCTCATAGAAATTTATTGAAAATGTTTGGTGATGGTACAGTTTCTGATAGCATATGCAGAAGATCGTATAAAAAAATTTGAAACAGGTGATATCAACCTTTATGATAAGGCATGTACTTGGCGACCAGCTTTGATTGGAGATAATGTTGTTAAGGCCATGTTTGAGCAAGATCCTTTTCTGACAACATCAGAGATCACAGAAAGGCTTAAGTCAGGTCAGCATACCATTTCGGGCTACATTTGGAAGATAGAATTGATGTGGAAATATTCAAGATGGGTGCCACACAAATTAAGTCAGAAAAATTTGGATGATCGAGTTGTTATATGCACATCTCTGTGCGCTCAGAACAAAAAATCTTAGCGTTTTTTGAACCAAATGATAACTGGGGATGAAAAATGGTTTACCCATGACAACATTGTAAAGAAATGACATATTATGAACACTGAAGACCTAGCTTTTCCACCTCTTAACCAAATTTGACTCAGAATATTCTGTATATGGTGGGACAATCTGTATATGGTTAAATACAATTTATACATAGTGAGCTTTTAAAACCAAATGAAAATCTCAATTTGGAGAAGTATTGTCAGATTTTAAAATTAAAATTGCAGTTTAAAAAAGGTTTTACTATGTTTTTAATTGTATATTTATCAAAATATTTTTAAATATTCATTAAAAAACTTAATTTAAAAACTTGTTAAATAAGGAATCCAAATATTGTACTAGATCAACATAAAAAATAAAGGAAAGCTTTTTATAATGTGAAAGACTTTTTTTTAAGGTTTTGCAAACATGTTTTGTAATACATAAAAAAGTCAGTTTCTTATAAAACGTTAAACTTTTTTTACAATTTATTTAGTATTTCTTTGTACCAGTTACATTTATGAAATGGAAAATTAACTCTGTGATTCTTTAAAACCAGTAAAATGTCTAACTTTTCCTCTTTGTTTATTGAATCGATTAAGTCTTTTACCAGTTTAATAGCTCTTTCTCAACAGCCATTGACCCAGAATTATCTTTTTATAAACTTTTGCATATTTTTATAATCAGAATCATGAGTCCACAAATTAGTTAGACTTTTTAACTACTTTGATAATAAAGGAACTATTTTAAATATTAGCCAAGAATTTGTTCAATGTAATCATTAAGCTCTGAATTTTCTTATTTCTTCAAGTTTAAACTTTTTTAGTTTTCTGGTAAATTTGTTTTTCAAATCTGCTGAGCAACTTTTTTTTTAACTTTATTGTCAATAACTTTATCAAATAAACAAAAGACAACTGTTTCTTCAGAAAGATAATAACTGTGTCTAATATATCTTGAAATAAAATGAGGAACATCAACATCAAAATCTTTAATCTTTATCATCTCTTTAACCGTACACAAATCATTATAAGCAGTAGAAACAATTCGACTTGATTGAAGCAAGTTTTTTTGTATGAAGCTTGATATATTGCAGCCTTTGCTAATACTGTTTCCTCTTCTAGGGTTAAAAAAGTTATAATTAGTTGAGTAAACCTCAGTGCCTAAATGAATAAAGCATCTACCATAAATCTAGCTTTATGTTTAGCAGCTGATTTGTGTATAATAAATCTAGGAACTGCCTCCCTTCCAGAAAAACAATAACATATTGACACATATGTTTAACATCATTACTGGAGAAAGGATGAAGTTCCAAAGCTTTTTTGCAAAAGGTAACCTCTTTTTAGTCGTATCTTGTAATGGAGTTCCACTGACTTTGCACCTCGGAAACTTATGATAACTGATCCATATTATTTTAGACATTTTCATAATGCATTGGCTAGCAGGTTTGAATCTTATATAAATAGATTTTGATGGACCTTTCTTTCTTAATTGATGATGGACTTTTGCTTTCTGTTTTAGTGATTGCATTTATTGCATGTAAAAAATATTTTGTCAAATATGTCGTTAATCTTAAGAATGTTTTTTACAAAGAAGTCTTAACAGAGGTCGATCTAAAAGTTTTTCTAAAATACTTATGCAACCCTTAACCAGTGCTACATGATGTTATGTCAGCATAAATCCAATTATAAAACTTTCAATTCCAAACTTTTTTATAACATTAAAAAATGTCAATGCTTTATCATATCCTTTCCCTGATTGACATTCAACTAAGTCTAGCAGCTCATCATGTTGCTTTCCATTTGTATTAAAATGTCTGTCTGGACTTGTCACAAAAATGGTTAGACGTTCGTTAACTACAGAAATATAGTCTTCATTTATATCCAAACCTTTTTTTGTATTAATGTGCAAAATTAATACAAAAAAACTTACTATATTAATAAAAAAAAAATTACTATATTTACATTTTTTTCTTATTTTTTCCCTAATTATTTCTGATTAACTTACATATTAATCTTTTCATATTTTTTCTACTTTTGTCTTAGAAGCAGGGATGCGGAGTTCCAAAAAGGACTCCGGATATGGAAGGCACAAAAAGATCACTTTTTCCAAGTTTTTGGTATCCAGGAGCTCTAAAAATATAAAAAAGTTTATGGACTACTAATAAGAAAAAAATTAAAACTTTTAGGTAAGAGGAACAATCATTTTTCGAACCCAGAGTCCTTAGGTATAATGGCGGCAAGAACTCCAGAACTCCGGGCTTAAAAAAAATAAGTTTCAAGTCATTAAATCTCATGAATTTTTTACTTATAGCAGATCATAAGTCAACAAACATGTTTAGAGCTTCTGGACACTACATACTTGGAAAAAGTATAAAGCCGGAGTCCTTTTGGGACTTGGCATCCCTGCTTTGAAGTATTACTTCATTAAGGCTGATATTTCCACATCTTAAAAATAATGCTAATAAACCTGTTTGTATTCCAATGGAAATTTTAAAACGCCTAAAAATGTTGAAGTTTTTAAATTAAGTTCATCAATATCCACTCTCATCACTTTATTTTGTTTTATGTTTTTCTTTGTCTTAATAGTTATTATATTGAAAGTCTTCATTATCAAAATTTTCTAATAAAAATATTGGAATAAACTTTTTGTTATTTTTTGTCTATTTTGTAAATTATTTTAAAAAACTACAAGTTCTTGTAGTTTTTTCGTATAAACAAAATCACATTCCTTTGCATCTTTTGATCGAATTCTTTTATCATTATTTCATAAAGTTTTGGGTGACCTAAGTCAAACAGTTCCTTTTCTAATGCTGAAAATTTTTTTTCTGCAGCTTTTGTGTTTTTGTTTTTTTCAATATAATACCAGTTTATTGTGATGATATATTAATTTGGAAACATTTTCCCTAAAATGATTTAATAAATTTTTATTTATCATTTAACTTAAATTTTTATGTCAATATGTTATAAATTGACATATATTGAAGCCACAGTTTCCTTACAGCAGAAACAACAGATTTAGGCTGACATATTTTATCATTACATAGCAGCTTGTGATTTATATCTAGAGAGCAAGAAATAGTTTTGATGTTATTTTTTTTTATTATTATTTTTATTGAAATTTAGTAATGCCTTTTTGCCTTTTGTAGACAAAGTTTTGCAGTCAATTTGGTGTGTTTTTATAAAAATATTTCAGTATTTGAACTTGTTGATATTGCCACTTTTAATTTAAAAAGTTTTAAATGCAGAACATTTTCATTAAATTTATTATTGCGTGCTGTGGCTATAACTCCGCATAGATCTGGCAATGCAAACTTTTTAAAAAGTATTTTACTTAAAATGTACTAAACATAAAATATTCAAACCCATAGGGAGGTCAGGGAATTTAAAATTTTTTACAAATTTTTTTTTTTTCAGAAAGGTCTTGTATAACTACATTGAGTGGGAAAATAATTTAGCAAAGTTGTAGTTTTTCAAACCCCTAAAAACGGATCTGCCTATCTGCCCTAGCACCTTCTGACTATCACTTGTTTTTCTCTTTTTTGATATGCAAAAATTCAAAAATGAAGTATTTTCGAATTTTTTGCTTTAATATCAAAAGATGAAACATATTTCAAAAATAGGGTATATAAGTTGTCCTCACAAAAGAGTTTAATAATAATGGTAATTAAATTTTTTAAAAAATTGTATTTTATTTTTTTCCAAAAACAAACAGAACTTTTAAGTAGACATTTTGTGATATTTTGTTAGATATATTGTGCCAATATTATCCCAAAGCTATATATATATATATATATATATATATATATATATATATATATATATATATATATATATATATATATATATATATATATATATATATATATATATATATATATATATATATATATATATATATTATGA